TTGAAAATTAACAAAGAGGAAATGTAACCATTTTTCACGATAATATATAGGTTAGCATCTAACAATCGGCATAGTTATATGATAATTAAAATATTGATAATTGACTCGTAAGAGATAGGAAAATGGTCGTTGAAGGAAGGTTAAAATTTATAAGAATTATACAGAAGAAGAAGCATCATGTGATTTGTGAACCAATTTATATATGTTGGTTAAGTAGTTGAAAAAATCAATTTGGAATTGAGAAATCTAAGTGTAAGTTTTTCTATTGTAATTGATTTTAATTATGATTGATCTTCGACCAAAAAAAAAATTATGATTGAATGTATTAAATGAAAAAAATTATGATCTTTTGTGAATGTATTAAATGAAAAAAGATCTGGGTTCGAATTCTTAGTTATAAAAATAATAAAAGTGCAAGCATGTGACAGAATCTGAAACCCTAGAGGATGTCACAATATTTAAAAGTTGACGATAAAATAATGAGAGAGATCAAGCTTGTAATATGAGCCATTATGTATTAATTAATGTAAGAATCTTTATGGGATCATGTGCATTACCTTAATCTAATCTCTTTTGAAAATAAATTTCATTTATTTATTTTGGCAATTTTGGTGACAGTGTTTCAGATGCCAACATGCATTTTCAACTATTTTTATAATTATAGTTTGGCTACAACCAAACAAAAAATTACCCGTAAAGAAGAGCTGGCTATGTGGCCATGTGCTTGCTGCTTCAATTCCCTTATTAACTACTCACTTCCAATGGAAAAATGGCTCAGAAGAATATCAACTAAAAGTAGATAAGATCACGATATAATGTTTTTCTTTAATTAAGCTACACACAACGATTAATTTGTAAATTGGTTTTATCATTTCATTTTACACTGTTGTAATTTTTATTTGTAAAATATATATGTTATATACGATGGAACGTTTGGGTATATAATACTTCCTAATTAAGAGATAAACTTTCAAAGAGGTGCTGTCATGAAATTGGGTATTATATTTGTATATAAACTTTTTTTTTAAACTAATTTATTTTTGATTTGGTCACGTAGCTAATAAAATACAACATAAAAATGTTTGGTATTCTATATGTTGTAAGTTCTAAAGAGAGATCAAAAAGTTTATGGGCAAGATGATATTCTTCTTCTTTTTATAAGTTTTGATTCATTTTTTATTTTTCTTTTAATGCTATATTAGTGAAAATAAAATAAAGTGAGATAAGGAAAAGGAGAGAAGGGATGCATGTGACTGGCAATGACATGAAGGATAGTGGTTCGATGTTTTGGACTTTGTTTAATTGTTAGCAAACGATCTTTCGTTGCCACTTCACGTTGCCACATATATAGATTTATACTTATCAATATTTTTTACTTTATTTGTCAACGGTCGAATTATGGTATATTTTGTTCGCACAGAAAAATACATCAAAATTCAAGTTGGACTTTGGGACCGACTTTCGTGAGG